ACTATTCCAACTCCCATATACTACATTTTCGGTATTCTAACAAACCTTATATCGAATATGTTGGTCAGTGTGTAAGTTAGTTTGTTTCGAAATTGCTTAAAAAATTTGTCTCGAGTATACTTGAGCAATGCCAAACATGAATGCAACAAGCTCAGACCTTTCTTTGCCCTCAATCTACCCTACCTTTCCAGCTGACTTTAAGCTGTTTAGGTTGGTCAACATGTGTGATATTTCAATGAATTTAAGTGGGTACGTTTTCTTAAAAATTATGTGGTTAAGCAGGTATATATATGTATACGGAGTTGGAGAACTTGATCAAACCCTCATATCCCTAATTCAATGAATTTTGATTCTCTGGTTGACGTTTTCCACAACAACTCTATATATGTATTAAACTTAGCCCCTTTGCTTAATTTAAATCACATCATCTTATTTCAAGATGATTTTAATATAATTTTAGCTGACACGAAGAAATATATCAATACAACTAAGTTAGTCTATGACTTATAATATAACTTAATAAAATACCAAGGCTGATTTCGTCAAATAATGATTGTTAAATTCCTACGAAGCGTTGTTACAGAGTATAATTGTTTTGTTCACCTAACGGTTTTTTGTAACATCTAAAACTAATCGAGATATATAGTAGATAAATATAAAGTAATTTACAGTGGCTTACAGTTCATTTACTATGGCCATTTATTAAAAAAAAAAAAATTAGCTTTGTATCACCTAAAACTAATCGAGTAGATAAAGGGTTATGTGTATACAGGTATAAATGATAAGGATAACGAAACGAGTAGGAATCTGAGTGAGTGTCTGTGCGTCCGTCCGTCCGTCTGCCTGTCTTTCCTTTCTTAATGTTTTTGACACTTTTAGTTATTGATTTATCGTACTTTTAGTAGTTTTTAAAAAAAAATTTATGTGGGGAGTGGGCGAGGTTATCAACCGATTATTTTTTGCAAATTTGGTTCATAAAGCCCTAATAGTTTAGGAGATATATACATTAAGGCGGGGCCACGCCTACTTTAAACATTTCTGTTCAACAATATCTTTATTTAGTGCTTAGTTATGGCATTATATAAGTTTTCCATTAATGGCGTTTTGTGGGCGTGACGGTGATCCGATTACGCCCATCTACATTACTAATCATTTCATGGTGCCAAGGAACATGTGTACCAAATTTCATCAAGATATCTTAATTTTTACTTAAGTTAAAGTTTGCACGGACGGAGATGGGCAGACTGACAGTTACTCGGATTGCAACTCGTCTAATCCTACTATTTTGATTAGTTTAAGGTGATACCTATAACCGTTAGGTGAACAAAATTATTATACTCTGTAGCAACATGTGGCAAGAGTACAAAAATATTAGATGAAGCCGTTTTGGGTAATTTATTGGTTACGGATTTTCATGTTTCCGAAGCCCCAGAGTTTGGACCTTCCAGTGAAGCAATATATGTTGTGAATATGCTAATTAAATGGAATGAGTACGATATGAAGTTCTCTAACAAACATATTTCACGTCTTCACGAGCTACGATCGGATATCGCAAGATCATATTCGGATACTGATTACTTGAACGTTACAACACCGTATGAATCTATATATTTTTATTACATATGTAAACAAATGTTTCATATCACGAAAAAGTTAAGAATTCGAAAAAGTAAAACACCCCAATGACAAACTATGTAACTTTTTCGAACCTCTGTGGTATTGGGTGTATGCAATAATTCGTGCGGTTTTCTAAGAGAGGGCTCTAGAGAGGGCCATTTCGCGTCGTTTTCAGTAGATATCATTGGTTTTAGCGTGAACAACAATTTGTTTCATTCATTTGAAAATGTCAAAATTTGTACCAGATGAAGTGTTTTTGCGGGAAGTTCTTCTTCATTACTTTAACAAGAAGAAAAGTGCTACCGAAAGCCATCGTATTTTACTGGACGTTTACGGTGACCATGCTTTAGCCGCACGAACGTGCCTAAAGTGGCTTGCACTGTTTAAAAGTGGCAATTTCGACTTAGACGATTGCGAACGACCCGAAGAGCCAAAAAAATGTCAAGACGTAGAATTGGAGACATTGCTCGACGCAGATGCATGCCAGACGCAAGAAGAACTTGCAAAAGTATTAGGAGTTGATCAATCAACCGTTTCCAGACGATTAAAATCATAAGGATTCATCCAGAAGCTTGGAAATTGGGTGCCTAATGAGTTAAAACCAAGAGACTTCGAACGTCGATTCTGCATGTCAGAAATGTTGCTTCAACGCCACCAAATGAAGTCATTGTTGCATCGGATTGTCACTGGCGATGAAAAATGGATTCATTATGATAACCCAAAGCGCGAATGATCGTATGTGAAGCCCAGCCAACCATCGACATCCACGGCAAAGCCGAATATCCATGGTGCCAAGGTTAAACTATGTATTTTTTGGGATCACAAGGGTGTGCTCTATTATGAGCTATTGAAATCAGGTCAGACGATCAATGGGGACCTCTACCGAAAACAATTGATTCGTTTGAAAAAGACCATGGCGGAAAAACGACCGGAATATGCGACCAGACACGAATCAATAATTTTTCATCATGACAACGCTCGGCCACATGTTGCAAGGCCAATTAAAAACTATTTGGAAAACTGTGGATGGTAAGTTCTACCTCACCCGCCTTATAGCCCAGACATAGCACATTCCGATTACCACTTGTTCAGATCAATGCAGAATGCCCGCCCCGGAGTACGCTTCACTACAGAACAGGGTATCAAAAATTGGCTCGATTCTTTCTTGACCTCCAAGCCGCAGAAGTTCTTTTGGGATGGGATCCACAAACTGCCAGAAAGATAAGCAAACGTCGTAGCTTCCGATGGGCAATACTTTGAACATTAAACGCATAACAATATTACAATCCTTATATTATTATTCTTGTAAATACTATCAATAATATCAATGGAATAATGTACTTATTATTCGACCTTATATGATCACCAATATTCGATTACGAATTGGTAAATAAAGAAGAATAAGATACGTATCGAATGCGAAAATAGCATGCGGTGGATGAAGTATTATAGTTTGCGCTTGCATATCAGAAACGGGTGTTGGAAACTTCGTGTTCATAGAGGAAAATATGGACAAAATCATATACCTTCTAGGTATACTTTAGCTTTTACCAAAACAGCGACAACATACATAAGTCGTCAATTGTGCGGATGCTATATCTAGTAGATGTAATATGGAATTGTCCATAACTAACGAAAGAATCAGCTGACCTGCCTGACCGAAATGTAATATAGAAATCCTAAGAGCAGCCCGTTTTGAAGAATGGTTTAAAATTTCACCAACGGTAACCAAACAATTGGGAAATTCAATGAAAAGTGGACAAAACCAGTTACATTACAAAAGGGTTACCAAGTAAAATACAAAAATCTATACCGTTTGTGCGGTCTATTGCTACTCATTTTAAAATTATTATTTTTTCTTTATTTTAAAGCTGCGAGAGGATATGCAAAGCATTAAAAAAAATACTTGTTGTTAAGAGCAAATAAACATCCTTATTATGACTTTAGATTTTTATACTCTCGCAAAAAATTTTGTGAATGCCAATAAAAATATTTAATTTAATGAAAATTTAATTAATAAAAAATAAAAGTTTCAATATTTTTAGTCATAACATTAGTAACATTATTATTATTTTGGTAAATAGCTACCCTACCTTTTTCAACAGTATCTGGTTTGAATGGAACAATGCAATTGAAATAAGGTATTTCAATTGGATTATCAATGGTAATAAATTTCCACTTATCTTGGCTAGCGATTTCAACATCAACTTCTCTGAAGATCAGAGTGGTTGACAACTTTTTTTCGAAAAAATTGAGTTTGAAAATGAATAATGATCCACAACAATCCACAACAAAATATGGGACCACTGACACGGTATTTTCTAGATATTTATAAACCTATAGTTTCAATGATAAAAATTTCTGAATAGCATGTATTGTATAAAAATATTTTAAACAATATTAACTTTTTATTTGTTCAAAAAAAAAAAAGTTTGTTTTCTTATCGGCCACCACGCTCAAAAAGTGCAACTTAAATTAATATGAAAGAAAAAAAAAATACTGCATAAAAAATAATTAAATAATTATAATTGCATTACTTGATAAAAAGTGTTGTGCAATATCTTTTTTTAATTTAACAAGTGAAGAAGATCTAAGTTCGGGTGTAACCGATCATTTTATACTTTCGTAATTAACAAGGATATAGGCGGGGAAGTACTTCTTTCAGTTCGAAAACTATTATATGCGGTATATGGCAGCTGGTGTAATTTGGAATATATTCATTATTATATGTTCACTTAATTTTGATAAGATATATATATATATTGGTATAATGTGAGATAATCCACAAAATGACTAATCTTTATGGTAGAAAGTCAACCGGATATTTGAAAAGTGCTAATATTAAGTATATGGGGCTAGGGCATATTCATCCGACTTGATCTGTTTTGGGCACAAGGATACACCGTTTCGAAAGATATTCTCTCTGATTTTCATTATGATATCTTACATATTCACTGACATACATATGTGATATAAAGTCAACCGAGAGTGCAACAATATTTATTCTCATATACAATAAATATGGTTTATGGGGCTAAGGAAAGTATTGACCCGATTTAACCATTTTTGACAGGAAGACATATGACACACTAACTACAAAAGCATCTCAATTCGCAAAATTGCAAGTGTTCAAAAACAGTTCCTGTTAAAATTATTTAAAATTAATAAAATAGTCAAACCGTCGTCCATAATGTAAAATATTTTCTTTAAAGAGCGTCTTACTCAAATATAAAGAATAATTTTCTAGTTTAACAGAGGAAGACATAGAGATATTAAGGCACATTTTTGAGTTAACAAATTGAATAACAGTGTGAGAATCACTATTATTTTATTGAAAATCACATATTTCAAATAATATAGATGATTAAACTTAATTTTTTCAGATAACGAGTCACAACTTCGCAGAATACAGCAAAAAATACACGATTTATTTCAGCAATAGCGACACAACTACAATTAGTACGCTTTAGTTGATACTGCACAAGCAATACAAGCGACGCAATTGACACAAAAGTAGACCTAAAGGTGATTTTCCAGTTAAGTAAGATAGTGATGACAATGAAATTTCTTGGTTAGGTGAATAAGTGTTTTTCGGATTGATGTATTGAAACAAAAAAATATATATATATAATATTGAAAATTTTTGAGTTGTGAGTTTCTTGAAAAGAAAAAGATATTCCTTGAAATTCATCAAGATATCTCACATATTGACTGATATAAGGTATAAAGTCAACCGGAATTTTGAAAATCTTTCTGCGAATCCTGTGGAAGCTAAGTGAACCAATGACCCGATTTTACCTATTTTTTAGTCCCAGCACACATTATTGCCGGAAAACGAGATATATCGCTTTTTTCGGTAAAAAGTCAAACGATATCTTCATTGGTGTTTGATTTGCATACTTTAATATGAAGGAAATCTGTTAATGGAATTTAAAACTTCGTTATATGAAAAGAAGGCGTGGTTTTATTACGATTTCGTCTATTTTCACATTGAAAGATACCAATGTCAATGTAAAAATGTTCAATATTAGGATTGAAATTGATCGAAAACTTCCTGAGATATAATTAATGCTTCTAACATATTAAACAGCTGCACAAGTCGACTAACGCCTTGCCATTCGTTCGTTTAACATAACACTGCTGTTGACTCCACTTATTTTTTCACCTTGGGTGCGGTGTTATACTCACTTTTACTATTGTACTACTTTTAGTGAAAAACTCTTTAATTGATTTTTTAAACGTTAGTATTATATAATATATTTTTTGATAATACTTTATAATATAAAAAGTTCACTTTCTTATATTTGTGGTTTTAAATAATTTATAATACACTTCCAATTTATAATTTCACTTTTATTTTATGAAAAAAACGGTGGTTGCAGTGTGATTGTATAGTGTAGGTGTATAGTGTGTTGGTTAATTGTATATAGTTGTGTTGGTAAGTGATATGGTGTGTTGTAGGTGGTGTATGATGTTGCATTGTGTTATGTTGTATGGTATGATGATGTACGGTGGTTGTGAGCTTAGTTGTAAAAATGTCGCGGGATAAGAAGTCGCATGAACATCCCGGTCCCCCTAGGCGAATTAATTGCCTAGAAGTCTTTGCAACTATTGCAGAGTGCTCACTACGGCGTTCAATCCGGTTGACCTTTGCCGCTGGTTGCGATGACCATAGGGTGGTGGAGGTGGCCGTCAGCGTGCCCCTCTGGATGGCTTCGGGCGATGTACTCTTTGGCGCTGGACGGGATTCCCTTGTTGTCTGTGCCGCTGACTGGTCAGTGTTGTGGGCGGATTTGCTCGTCGAGGGAATCGATGGAACAAAGTATGATGCGGTGGTTGGCAATATTGACACGATCCGTCGGTCATACAGTCAAAGGTGGAGTGACTATCTGCCAAGCAAGTCATACAGTGTCCGTGGGCTCTGGCGATCTGTTGGCGTTGAGCGGGCTTTATGCTCTTGAAGATAGTGCACCTCTTCAGGACGTGAGGTCGCCGTCATAGACTGCATCGTGGAGGCAGATGCTCATCAAACTGCTCCTCGTTTGCATCTCTGACTGCTGCTGCAGATGATTGGCTATGCGGAGCCGTGGCGCTTTGCATCCTTGGTGCTGCGATGGGTGGACCAGATGCTCTAGGCGCAGCAATTACGGACCTCACAGTCTTGGGAGCGCTGTGGATATCTTCTACGTCCATTTCTATTGGAATAGGAATATATTAAAATATGGTTTGGCTCATAATTTTGAATTATGATATTTGTTGCTTGGTTTGAAAAATAGATCTATATATATATATATACATATGTATATGTAACTATATATGTTGTGGTTAATTTTTAATCGCTTTTGTTAGTGTTAGATTTACATGTACGGATTATAAAACGGTAGTATTTCGAGTTAAACGAATTAATTGTCGGTTTTGATTTTATTTATGCGCTTGTCTTGGCGAGGTTTGTGTAATCGGTTCTTCGGTGTTCGGAAGAAAACACAATTTTACTAATAGTCGAGTTAGTATACCAGTTTGTGTTCGTAAGACTACTATTCTTATGTGACCATCTCGTCCCCGATAGACCTTTTCAATGCGGCCTAGTCGCCATTCTGTTGGAGGAAGGCATTCATCATGTATGATGACGCATTCGCCCGTATTTGGTTCCTTCTGGATCGTTTTCCACCGATGTCTCTTATGGAGATCTTTAAAGTAATCTTCCTTTCATCTATGGCTGAATTCATGATGAAGTATCTTAATTTTTTCCCATCGGTCTATTAAATTGAGTGAGTCTCCTTCTGCCTCAGGTATGGCGAGAAGTGGAGCTCCTCTGAGGAAATGTCCAGGTGCGAAATTTAACCTTCGAGGAATGGTATGTAAATTGTTTCCAAATTGATGTAATTTTCTTTAGGAGGAACCCGGCTGAATTTAGTGCTCTGATCACTTGAGATAGTGATTCGCAAGCTAATGAGATACTGTGGCTACCTGATAGAATATCATCAACGTATATTTGTTTTTGTAGCACAGAAGTTGCTAAAGGCAAATTTGTTTGACAGGTTTTTGCCACTCCATGTAATGTCCTAATGGCTAAATAGAGTGCACAATTGATGCCAAAGGTGACTGTTTTAAGTTTGTAGTCGCTGATTGGACTATTACTTGATTTTCGGAAGACTATCCGCTGGAAATTTTGGTCATCGTTATGTACTAAAATTTGCCTATACACTTTCGCTACATCTCCATTGAAAACATATTTAAACATGCGCCAATTTAGTATTAGCAGCATGAGATCAGGTTGTAATGTTGGTCCTGTGTATAGTACATCATTGAGTGATTTGCCTGAGCTCGTACACTTTGAAGCATTAAAAACAACTCGTACTTTTGTTGTGATTTTATCTGGTCTTATTACCCCGTGATGCGGAAGATAAAATGATAAATATCTACCTTTAGATATTTTTTCATATGGTACAGCTTCTTCCATATGATTGAGGTCAAGATATTCATCCATCACGTCATCATATGCTGATTTAAGCTCGCTTTTCTTTATCAAGCTTTTTTCCAAGCTTAGGAATTGCTGGACTGCTGATATTTTCGAGTGGCCTAGAGCTATCGTTTCTGGAAAGGTGGGCTTGAATGGGAGTCGCACAACATAACGACCATGTTCGTTTCTTGTTGTTGTGGCCTGGTAATAGGCTTCGCATGCCAGGTCTTCTTCTGAAGGTTTTGTGATTTGGGGTAGTTCTTCTACTTCCTAGAATTTTTTGAGTTGATTATTTAGATATTCGTTTGAAATAATTTCAACTTGAGTTGTGAAGGAGTTAATTTTTTCTGTGACTTGGCCACTTAAGATTGTGTTTTGGGCTAACAATTTAGTAGAGATTTTCTCTATACCTTCAAGATAATAATATGTCGATTTGTGATGGGGTATGGCAGTTGGGATCTGCTAATTTGAGGTATGAGCATTTTCCCACTGTTTTTTATTTACTTCATAGCTTGGAAGCAAATTAGTGAGCTGCGGTAGAACAATGGCTTGTGCATCTATTCGTATATCCGCGTTTGGAGAGACTATGGTGATTGGGCAAACTTTATTTGAATTTTGTATAATTCTTCCGCCCAGTCCCGAAATTTGAAAACTAAAATTTTTGACTGGCAATTTTAGCCGATTCTGAGCTTTTGATGATATAAAGGATCTTTGAGAGCATTGATCTATTAATTCTCTTAATTTGAATAAATCTCCTTTATGTTCTATAGCAATGACCGCTGTGGGTAAAAGAATTTTGCTTTCATTCTCTGAATGAAGCGCTTGAACTTTTGCTGCTTTTGAGCAACATGGGTGTTCCTCTTTATTTTCGGGATTCGGGATTTCGGGATTACCTGATTTGGTTGTCGCGACTAGGCCCGTGGTTTTATGTATATGATTTTGCTTCATATTTGTAAAATTGGTTATGTGAAGCAATGAGTGATGTCGTCGTTGACAGTACACACAACTGAATTTGCTTTCTTTTGTCTTTTGAGAATTGAACAGACAGTTGATGCAAAGTTTATGTTGTCGGACAAGATTATTTCTATATTAAACAGACATTTTTTTAAATTTCTCGCAAGATCTTATATTATGTCCTCCTTTACAGATTTCACAAAATGATTGCCAATGGTTTGTTTGATTTGACACGAATGTTTGGCTTCTATTAACGTGTCTATTATATTGTGTGTTATTACTGACTTGGGGTTTAAAAAAGTTTTTATTTTAGTAATTTTGATGACCTTTTGGCTTAACAACCTTTTTATCTACTCGCTCAGCTATATCAGTTGTTAAAAATTCTTTCATTTGATGCCATTTTGGCGATTTCTTTCTTGCCACTAGTGATTGCTCACATCGTAACGAAGCAGCATCAGGTAGTGTCGCTGCGCAAATATTTACTAGGATAGGGTCCCACGATTCTGTGGATACATTTTGTGTTTCTAACACAGATAAGCAATTAGTCACTGTCGAGTATAGTTTTCGAAATTCTTGGCTGGTTTCTTGTTGAATTTTTGGTAAATTCATTAAAATAGTTATTTGGTTATCTACCAATACTCTTTCGTTTTCGTATCTTTCGACCAGTGCATCCCAAGCCAGATTAAAATTTTCGTCATTCAAAGCGAAACACTTGACAATACTGCCTGCTTCCTCTTTTGTTTTGTACCTGAGATCTTACAGCTTTTGTGCTCGTGAGAGTTTAGGATGGTCGATATACACCACAGTGAACATGTCCCGGAAGGACGGCCATTGATCATAACCTCCATGAAAAACTTCAGTATCACAAGCTGGTACTTTTAAAAATATACCTGTAAATAGGTTTTCTTTTGGATTTGTAACTACTCTCGGAGGAGGAGTAGTGGCTCTACATGGCCTTAATAAATTTATTTGGTCTAATATCAATGCCTTCGTAGTTTCGTACTGATCGAGGCAGTTTTCATATTTGGCTGATGCCGAAGCTTTAATGTTTTCTGGGAGTCGCCAGTATCTAATATTGTATCGTACGCTGTCAGAACGCGTGCCCATATATTATCTATGCTTTGAATTTTTAAATTTAGGACTGATTCTGTATTGTCGTTAATAGGCGAAGCCGAAAACCGTGTGCAGTATCTAATAAAACTGTCAATTTCAGT